CCTGGTCGTAATGACTGAACCATGTTAATGAAATGTGGGCTCTCAATCATACAGAAAAGAGAGTTTGTTGCAAAAACAAACTGGGCAATTTTTTCATCAGTTACCTCTTTTTGTAATTTGCTGGTTCTTTTCACAAATTTATCTATGGTTGTTTCTGGATGTTGGAGGGTTTTTTTCTCTTTCTTTTTGCTACAGGTGCTATACTGTGGCTATGTGACATACATGATGTGACTGATACACTATCATTGGCAGATAACTCTGAAACTATAGAAAATGATGGTGATCTTGAAGGTGGATAGTCTTCAGAATACTGTATGTGGAGGATGGATTCTCCTAAACAAAATAAGTCAATGCAGTTATTTAATTATTATTACCATACTGCTCATTTAGTATTACTCATTGCATTCACTAACACTCAGTACTGCTTTAAAGGTGAAATTGTAAAAGGAAGATCTACCTATTTCAGCTATTTATTTTTTATCACAACTGCATCTAAAATGATAGTACCATAGAGTAACAACTATAATTTTTGCTCAAACATGAGAATTCAAAAATAGTCCAGAAGGAAGACAGGCAGTCCTTAAGAAAGAAGTATGAAATAAAAAAGTTTCCCAACCTGAAGATCCTGCATGTTCAGACATGTTCCTTTCATCATCTTCAATGCAGCTTCCTCCTGAGAAGGAAAACTTTTCATGATGTTGTTTCATTTGGGCAGCCAGGCCTTGCATTTCTTTGCACTGTTTGCATTTTGCATGCCTGCCACAGGTAGAGGAACTTCATTAAAATATTCGCAAACTGGGTTTCTTTTACGGCCTGCTTCCATTACAGGTTTTCCCTTCTAGTGAGAGAATGGTATGGTAGATCTCAAATCAATGAAGGCTACACTCAGAAAGACCTCAAGACTTCTGGAATATGCTGCTCAAACAGTTTCACTTTTGTTTCTACTGCCTGTCTCTCCCTTCTCACATTTATCTGCAGACTTCTTCTCCTTGTCCAGATCTATTCCGCCCCAACAATCTTCTATTCATTGAACTTTTTGAAACTTTGCACTTTTAGAGAGAGGTAAGGATTGACTATGTGTACACAAATTTGCAGGGGGACAATAGGGTTGAGGTCTGTTATTTCTCACCTCTATATATTTATTTATTTTAAAACATTTTTGCTGTTAACAAGCATGTTATCTCTGGTGACACAAATCCACAGTTTGAGAACTGCAAAACTAAGCATCTCTGATGGTATCTTCTAGACTGAGCACTGAGTCCCATTGGGTAGATAGAAGAATTAACCTAAATAATCTATACAGAATCCCCTGGAACCCCATAAAATTGGGTCCCTAATCCATGAACTATTGGAACTAATTTACAAAATTTTTCTTAAACATTACATGAATATATTGTCTCATACTATAGAATTAGAATTTATAATCCCTATTCCATGGTGAGATATCTTTAAGCTATAATGTATCTATCTTAAAAGGGGTTTTTTCCTCAAAAAGCATTTTATCAAAAAAATCCGATTTTAAATAAAAAAAATCTGATTTTTTTTATTTATTGATTTTTATCCACCCTGGCTTGCTTAGAAAGAGCTGCATGGTAACTTGTGACTGCTGCAATACACTGGTCATCGCCCTTGGAGAGAAAGCAAAGCACAGGCGGTAGCCTTTAGGCAGACTGGTTTGCAAGGAATATCACAGTGTAAGGCACAGAGCAGTGCAGCCTTAAAACCGTCTGGTCAGAAGGGAGTGGGACAAGGGTTCCTGCCCAGAGACAGATAAGAGTCGGAGACCTGAGACTTGACTGGGAACCCCTGAAGTAAACTACAGGGTGGGGATGGGAGAACACAGATGCAATTACCTGGAAACTGTTATGGAGGCATCTCACCTGAAAATAAGACATGGCAAAACTTATAGTGAAGATGCTATGTCCCTGGGAGACAAGTTCTACCACCACGAAAAATTCACCCTGCACCAACAAAAACAAGCAAGGGCACTGCTCTGGTGAACAGGAGCATGAAATTAATCTGATGAGGTTCAATAAAGACAAGTGCAGAGTCCTGCCCTTAGGATGGAAGAATCCCATGCACCGCTACAGACTAGGGACTGAATGGCTAGGCTGCAGTTCTGCAGAAAAGGACCTAGGGGTTACAGTGGATGAGAAGCTGGATATGAGTGAACAGTGTGCCATTGTTGCCAAGAAGGCCAATGGCATTTTGGGATTTATAAGTAGGGGCATTGCCAGCAGATCGAGGGACGTGATTGTTCCCCTCTATTCAACATTGGTGAGGCCTTATCTGGAGTACTGTGTCCAGTTTTGGGCCCACACTACAAGAAGGATGTGGAAAAATTGGAAAACGTCCAGTGGAGGGCAACAAAAATGATTAGGGGACTGGAACACATGACTTAGGAGGAGGAGAGGCTGAGGGAACTGGGATTGTATAGTCTGCAGAAGAGAAAAATGAGGGGGGATTTGATAGCTGCTTTCAACTACCTGAAAGGGGGTTCCAAAGAGGATGGATCTAGACTGTTCTCAGTGGTAGCTGATGACAGAACAAGGAGTAATGGTCTCAAGTTGCAGTGGGGGAGGTTTAGGTTGGATATTAGGAAAAACTTTTTCACTAGGAGGGTGGTGAAGCACTGGAATGTGATACATAGGCAGGTGGTGGAATCTCCTTCCTTGAGGTTTTTAAGGTCAGGCTTGACAAAGCCCTGGCTGGGATGATTTAGTTGGGGATTGGTCCTGCTTTGAGCAGGGGGTTGGACTAGATGACCTCCTGAGGTCCCTTCCAACCCTGATATTCTATGATTTGTGAATTACTGAGATAGGAGTACTTAATAAGAAATACTCTGCCAGACAGGTTAAACTCAAAGCTATGGCAAAAGAGTCTGACACTAGCTGCCATGAGCTGTGTGTTGAAAGTGCACTAAACTGACTATTCTTATTCCTTTTAGAGTCATAATGGGCAGCTGCTTCCCCTCTCCAACAGTTGTGATGCATGAATTCCTTCTGTTATTGCTGCTTCTATTTAACACCTGTGTATTACCATTACAGGACATTGTAAAACTGACACAGGCTGTAGTGCAAGAAATATTTCAAATGACACATAACACAGTTTATTTTTCATTCAGTGCAAACAGTGCTATTTATTCCAGTGTATCAAGGAGATTAGCACCTGGAAAAAGAATAGTTGGCTCAACCTGAACCACGGAAAGACCTAAGAGGTGCTAGTTGAGAGAAGGAATTCTTCAAGGGCTGGAGATCACTGTCACCTTCTCGTTGACTGAGACCATCATTTTCCCCTAGCAGTTAAGAAACTGCAGCTTTTGGGTCATGCTGGACTGATAACTGACTCTTGACACCCATAAACCAAAAGGGCTTTCTTCCATCCATCTCAAGTCCAGATATAAGTCTGTGGTAGAAGAAAATAAAGCCACCCCTAGGCTCTGGCATTTTCTCATAAAGGAAGTAAAAAAGAGTCCCAGTATTGATGTTTTCCATTCCTGCTGTAAAATGCATATTTTCACCATAGCAGTCCCTAAAGACTCTGAGAAGAAGAAATACTGGCTCACTCTAAGGTAGCTACCTGTGATTAAACCAGGAGCAAGCATGGAATCTCTCCCATTGTTTGTATAATCGATTGTAGAGCGCATAGTTACAACAGCCGTAGCTTGTACTGAATGAATAATAATTGCAACAGATACATTTAGGATAACCCAGGAAGGAGCCAATAAGATTAAGTAATAAAAGAACTGAAGCACTGGTATTGGAAAGAGCAATGTATCTAGGCAGTTATAAGTGGAGATGCATTAACTGGTATGAAAATAATTATTTCACCCAAAACTTAAACTAAGTAGAACCCTGACTCTGTTGTGTTGAAAATGTGTAGTTAACTAGTTGCCTATTAATCTAGGTACCTACATGACCATCTAGGCACTGTTTATTTTCTTTAAATGTTCAACCACTAGAACTTTTCTGATATTTTCCCTCAGAGTTTGAATGCTAGTTTGGGGGGTTCACTAACAGTGATTAAAATGCATTAGTAGTGTATGTAAGCCAAATATATAGTTATTTATAAACAACATCGATTATATTTTAAATGTAATCGATCAGAAAATGCGGAGTCTTAAAAACCCATTTTCCCCTTTTCTTGTCATTGTCAATGCTCCATTGGAGCCTCAAATAAGTTCATTGGTAATAACTGTTTAATATAACTGCTCCATCTAGTGGCTGCAATGCTGTTCTCTCCAGCAAACAAGGAGCCCACCACCACGTCTTCTGTTTCAACTTTGTTTCGGTAAAGGATTCCACCTCCACAAAATACGTATATACCGAACTACAGTGTAGCTAAGAGCCAGGTTATCCCGCCCTGGGGAGACATCCATGGAGGGGGCTTGAGGGGTTCAGAAACTCTGAGATTCACCCGTCTGAGCTTCTTTGAAATGTGCCTCTGCAGATGAGGCACCGGGGGTTCAGCATCCCGAACCCAGGGATGGACAAGGGCAGGAATCCACAGGTAGGGGCAGGAAGCAGCATCAACGTAGGTGCTGTGTCCCTTGCCCACAGAAAGCTGCCCCTGGCCTCCGCAGGCTGGTGCCTGGTGCCTGCAGCACAGCGGCGGGCGCCGCCTCCACTTGAGACATTTTGCCGCAGGTTCTCCCTGTTGCTGTGGTGGCGGGGGCCGTGCCGGGAGGCCGAAGCCGCTGGCCGAGGCTGGCTGCCCCCAGGGTGGTAAGCACTGTGCGCACGAGATGCGCGCCGAGCAGGGCTCGCTGACAGTGCGGCGCTCCGGGGGAGCGGACCCGGCGTTTGCACTGAGGGGAACCTGCCCTGGGTGCAGCCGGGAGAGTCTGGGGGCGCTGGTGGCGGCCGCCGTGGACGATGTGCGCGGGCCCTTGCGCTCAGTGTCGGTGTCACTCGTCATGCGCTGCTGGGGCGGGGGAGGGGGGCGGACGCACCCCCACAGGAGCACCACCGCGCGGGAAGCTAGCAGCGTGCCGCCACCAAACTACAACTCCCAGCATGCCTTGGGCGGAGCCGGGCCTGAGGCGCACGCGCAGCGCTGCAGCGCGTCGTGCTGCCGGCGCCACGTGGTTGCAGCATGGCTGCTGCTTTTGCGGATCTGAACGTCCCGGGCGCGCCGGAGAGGAAGTCGCTGCAGAGTTTGCTGGAGGCCGCCGCGCACCGTGAGTAGCGGCCGCCTTGCCTTTCCCAGGGCGCTGGGCGGGGCCCCGCGCAGCTCTCCCAGCCTGGCAGGGCCTGGGCGGTGCGCGGCTCGGGGTGGGGAGCGCCGAGCACCTCTCAACCCACGGGGGCGGTTCCGACTCCCGCTGCGAGAGCCGAGCCGCTGGGCGCTCCCCCGCGGCAGCGTGCGTGCGAGGGATGCCCCCTTCCCTAGGCACGGAGCTGTTGGCCCCGCCCTGCGGGGTGGAGCCGGGGTGCGGGGAGCCCTGTTGTTCCCCCTCTTCCCCCTTGTTGGTGGTGAGCCGTGGCCTTTGTGCTGGCAGCGCCAGCCTCATTGCAGTGACCAGCGCATGGACCAGTCGTTCTCAAACTTGTGTACTGGTGACCCTGTTCACATAGCAAGCCCCTGAGTGCGACCCCCCCGGTAAATTAAAAAACACGTTTTTATATATTTAACCCCATTATAAATGCCGGATGCAAAGCGGGGTTTAGGGTAGAGGCTGACAGCTAGTGACTCCGCCCCGTAATAACGTCACAACCCCCTGAGGGGTCCCGACCCCTCGTTTGAGAACCCCTGGCATAGACTGCCTCGGGAAATGGGTGCGGAATCGTCCTGCCAACTCAGCTTGGTTCCCGAGCCTGGGGTGCTCGTTTGAAACTATGCAGTTCCTCTGCTCTCTGCACTGCAGGGACCTGCTCCAGACTCAGAGAACGTGATTTTCCAGTTTTCCTTTCAAATAGATCCCTAGGCCAAAATTAAATGTGATTTTTTGGGGGTTTAAATCTCCTAATTTGGAAGCCAACCTCATGCTACAGTTTCTGTGCGTCTTTTTGTGTTTGTCCTAGCACCGTTGGTAATGCTGTGTTTAGCAAACAAACTGTGCATCGTGGGGTATTCTTAACAAAATAAGTTTTAGTGGCCAGTTTTAAGTCCCTCTGTTTGCATCACCTCATGCAATACATTTTTAACTTCTCCTGTATGTTGAGGCTGGAAAGATAACATGGCTAACTATTATGATAGGTCCAATGAATAAGCCAACATACGTGTACCCTTTCTATCCTGGCAGATGTGCACTATTGCCAGTAAAACTTCACTGTTATACTATCCACCCTGGGAGTTGGGACTTGTTGCTATGTAGCTTTCCGAGCTCAGGCTGGAGCCACAGCGAAGGGGAGGGTCTCACTGGGTTTCAGAGCCCGGCACCCAGAGCCTGAATGTTTACACTGCTATTTTTTAGCTCTGCAGCAGGAGCCTGAGTCAGTTGCCTTGGGCTCTGATTGTATGTCTACGCCACACAATTAAAAATTTGTGGCTGGCCTGTGCCAGCTGACTCAGACTCACGCTAAGGGGCTCTTCAATTGTGGTGGTGTAGACATTCAGGCTCAGGCTGGATCCTAGGGCCCTGTGAGGTGGGAGGGTCCCAGAGCTCAGGAAGCCTGAGCCCAAATGTCTACACTTCAATTAAACAGCCTCTTAGCCTGAGCCCCACAAGTCCAAGGTCATGTCCACACTAGCACTTATGTCAGCAAAACTGCTGTCGCCTAGAGGTGTGAAAAAAAATACCCACCTGAGTGACATCAATTTTGCCAGTATAGGCACTCGTGTCCACAGCACTATGTTGGCAGGAGACGCTCTCCAGCTGGCATAGGTACGACCACTCATTGACCTGGTTTTATGATGTTGATGGGAGAGCTCTCTCTTGTCAGTATAACACGCCTACGTGGCAATTTTATAGTGGCACAGCTATGTAAGTGTACACATGGCCCAAGTCATCTGGCACGGGCGAGCTGTAGGTGTCTAACTGTAGTGTAGACGTATCCCGAGACACTCTGCAGCAGGGTGTTTTAGTGGAGGGGGGACGGTTTTCTGTGTAGAGACATACCTTCAGGCACTGGTCCTATAAGCAATTGTGGCTTGCTCTAACATTAAGGAGCAAGTAGTCCAAACACTTTATGGGATTACTTGTGTTCTTACAATTCAGTATTTTGCATAATTGTTTGCAGGACAGGGACCATAATTCTTCATGTATTTAAAGGAAAAAAAATGTTTTTAATGTTAAGCCATCATGTTTCCTACTGATTTTCTGTTTTCAGAAATCTCAAATTATTACACAAAGAAACCTTTCAGATGTGTGGAGTTTAATTGCTAATCTTAAATCTCTCTGTTCTGATTAATTTCTATTAAATAGTAAATAGGACAAAAAAAACTTACCATATGTTTACCTTTTCTAGTGGGATATTCAACTGTTGCAATTAACCATGTCATTGATTTCAAAGAAAAGAAACAGGTAGGGCTCTGTTTCAATATTTATTCTTGTTTTCTTTATTTGTACTTAGTAATAACTTCATAACTATGCATACATCTAGGTGAGTGATCTAAGAAGGAAGCAAGGTTAGGGAATTACAGGGTCCTTCAGTACATGACTAAACTACCATTTTATAACCCCCTCTATCTAGAAGCTGTGCAGTTTGGGCCTAAATTTTTTGTCCCTCATGTTTAATACATTGTAAGCATGGTGTTTTTGTTTGTTTTTTGTTTCAGGAGATTGTCAAGCCAATATCTCTTTCAGAACTGTTTCCATCTTTGCCTATTGTACAGGTATGTCAGAGTTTAAATTCCACCTGCACATGATAGTTAAGGATACGATTTAGTCACAGAGGTCAGGGAAGTCACAGATTCTGTGACTTTACCGGACCTCCATGACTTCAGGCAGTCAGGGCGGAGTCAGGGCTGTGCTCAACCCTCCTTTCCCCCTGCAGCTTCGGCTGGGGCTAGGGCTAGGGCTGTGCGCGTCCCTCTCTTCCCCTTGCACCAGGACTGCTCCCCCCCATCCCTCATGGCTTCGTCTGGAGCCGACCCTGCTGATGTGTGCGCCCGCCTCACAGCTTTGGCAGTGTCTGGAGCAAGGACTGTGCCCCTCTGGGTCAGGGCTCCCATGAATTTTTGTTTATTGCCCATGACCTGCCCGTGACTTCTACTAAAAATAACCGTGACAAAATCTTAACTAGGGCTGTCGATTAATCGCAATTAACTCAAAAAAATTAATTGCGATTAACTCGCACGGTTAAACAATAAAATACCAAACGAAATTTATTAAATATTTTTGGATGTTTTTCTACATTTTCAAATATATTGATTTAAATACAACACAGAGCTCAGTTTATATTATTTTTTATTACAAATAATTGCACTGTAAAAATGATAAACAAAAGAAATATTATTTTTCAATTCACCTCATGCAAGTACTGTAGTGGAATCTCTTTATCATGAAAGTGCAACTTGCAAATGTAGGGTTTTTTGTTACATAACTGCACTCAAAAACAAAACCAAATAAAATTTTAGAGCCTACAAGTCCACTCAGTCCTACTTTATGTTCAGCCAATCGCTAAGAGAAACAAGTGTTTACATTTATGGGAGATAATGCTGCCCACTTCATAATTACAGTGTCACCTGAAAGTGAGAACACGCGTTTGCATGGCACTGTTGTAGCTGGCGTGTCAAGATAGTTACATGCTAGATACGCTAAAAATTCATATATCCCTTGATGTTTCAGTCACCATTCCAGAGGATATGTGTCCATGCTGATGACTGGTTCTGCTCAACAATGATCCAAAGCAGTGTGGACCGACGCATGTTCGTTTTCATTATCTGAGTCAGATGCCACCAGCAGAAAATTGATTTTCTTTTTTGGTAGTTTGGGTTCTGTACTTTCCGCATCAGAGTGTTGCTCTTTTAAGACTTCTGAAAGCATGCTCCACACCTCGTCCCGCTCAGATTTTGGAAGGCACTTCAGATTCTTAAATCTTGAGTCGAGTGCTGTAGCTATCTTTAGAAATTTCACATTGGTACCTTCTTTGCATTTTGTCAAATTTGCAGTGAAAGTGTTCTTAAAACAAATAACGTGTGCTGAGTCATCATCTGAGACTACTATAACATGAAATATATGGCAGAATGCGGGTAAAATAGAGCAGGAGACATACAATTCTCCCTCAAGGAGCTCAGTCACAAATTTAATTAACACATTTTTTTAACGAGCGTCATCAGCACAGAAGCATGTCCTCTGGAATGACGGCCGAAGCATGAAGAGGCACATGAATCTTTAGCGCATCTGGCGTGTGAATATCTTGCCACGCCAGCTACAACAGTGCCATGCAAACGGCTGTTCTCACTTTCAGGTGACATTGTGAACAAGAAGTGGGCAGCATTATCTCCTGCAAATGTAAACAAACTTCTTTGTCTGAGTGATTGGCTGAACAAGAAGTAGGACTGAGTGGATTTGTAGACTCTAAAGTATTACATGGATTTATTTTTGAATGCAGGTTTTTTTATACATAATTCTGCATTTATAAGGTCAACTTTCAAGATAAAGAGATGGCACTACAGTACTTAGGTGAATTGAAAAATACTATTTCTTTTGTTTTTGACAGTGCAAATATTTGTAATCAAAAATAAATAAAGGGAGCACTGTACCCTTCATATGCTGTGTTGTAATTGAAATCAATATATTTGAAAATGTAGAAAAATATCCAAAATATTTAAATAAATGGTATTCTGTTATTGTTTAACAGCGCGATTAATAGCGATTAATTTTTTTAATCTCTTGACAGCCCTAATCTTAACCCTAATTATAGTCACTCTAAAAATATATTTTCATGTTGGTGTTTTTATGCGTATAATTCTTGTTTATGTTGTGAATTTAGAAAGTCATTGTCCGACTACTAAAATAAACCCACAGCAAGAGCAGGATTATTTATTCATGTTTAAAAAAGCTTTATTCTGTTCTTTGCTATCCATTTTATACGACATGAGGCAAAAATTGCACTTAGCATGAACTTTGAAACTGCTTATAGTTGAGTGACTACAGTATTGTGAAATTTAAGGGCTTGATTTTTAAGGGCTTGGCAGTTTACCAGATTTACTGTCATAGGATTTGGGAATACAGTCAAACCGTTACAATTATATATAAAAATGGACTTTAATTCTAAAACTGCATTTGTAGTGCCCTTATTGTTTGATTAGAGAACAGTAGTGGTAACCCAATAAAATGTGCTTGTTCCTCTCCTGTGTTGATCTTTTTGTTCGTTTGTTGAAAGCAAAAACAGACTTCAAAGAAATACAAGAAAAGCCACTATTTCTGAAGAGCAGAAATGTACAAAAAAGCACAGAAGCAAAGCATTAAAATTGGAAAGGAAAAACTATGAAGAGTATAGTTAGAAGTAATCAGAAAATTGGTATAGTCAAAAATACAAACAAAGCATCATTCTCTATTTATAGCTCTAGGCATGAAAATCTATCAGCTAGATTTTTGCTTTGTACTTTCTTCTACAGTCTCTTTGATGGTTTATTTTGCTTACAGGGAAAATCCAAACCAATTAAAATTGTAACCAGATTAACACTTGTAGTTTCTGATCCTTCTCACTGCAATGTATTGGTAAGTATTTTAAAATTTATTTATTTTGTAAGTTGTATTTTCTCTTCATAGTAAAATGTTATTTTTGAAATTTTATGGATTTCACAAAAAATACTACACTAATTTGCTGACCTATAATGTCTCCTTGGGATCGCATCACTCTCTGAAGATTTCACTTTATAAAACTGGGATGTGCTCTGCACTGGTGGTTTACTAATGCTGCTATGAGAAATCGGAGTTCTGTTCCCATGCCCAGTCCCTTGATTCCTGGGCCTGAAGGCTTCAAGTAAAGTGCTGTTACCAAGCCCTGTGATAAGGTGGGGAAAGAAGTGTTAAAACATGAAATCATCACCCCATCTCTAGAACTTGAGTTCAGATTTTAAAATATGACAATAGAGCCGATATTGCATTCGTTCAGTTCTGTTTAAACTTGAACTCCAGCATAACTGCCTCCCCCCCGCACGAGGCCCCAGAGAGTTTAGCTGGGTATTCTAATAACTTGGGCAAGGGGAGGACTTAGAAAATGTACGTGATAAAGTAGGACATGTATGGCTGACAAGGCGAACAGTTGCTAGTGCTTTACTTATTGTGTAGAATGAGCGCCAAAATAATGGCCATGTTGAAACACTGTCAGCAGATAGGACTGCTAATAGAGCCTTAATAGGAGTGGTTTGGTTTTACAACTCACAACTGGAGAAGCGTTTCTTCTTCTTCTATTAGTAGTTGTTCTGGCAATTTTCATGGTACATACCTTTAGCATCTTCCATAAATTAGTGTGATTTTTTTTTTCTTTTTGTGTCAGAGATCAACATCTACAAATATAAGATTGTATGACATCATAGCAGTGTTTCCAAAGACAGAGAAACTGTTTCATGTAAGTATTAAATATATATATATATATATATATATCCTCTCTCGAAGCATCTGAGAATCCATTTGTGATCGTAACTGTCAATGCTGGAATAATGTTCAGTGCTTTGGGTTGGATTAGACGAGTGTTCTGCTTGCATTTCATCTCAAACTTGATAGAGTGCAAGGCAGAAAAAGCACACCAAGTGGCAGTGTGAGAAAAGCATCCATTACCCATGTTAAGCTGTTAGTGTTTAGAAAGTTTGTCTCAAACAATTTGCCTTCCCAAATTTGAACACCTTCCTCAGCTCATTAGCTCTTTGGCTTAGTAAGAATTGTTTTGGAACTCTGTTGAAATGATGCTTTGTGACGACCGAAGGAATGTAGGATTTAAATGTTTGAGCAGTGGGGGTTTTGAGGGTGACTCACTGACCTATCTCCTGCAAAAAAAAAGTCTGAGATCTGTTGCTGAAAAGCCATATGGAAATAGCAGCCAATCATTTCGTTGTTTTTTTTTTAAAAAAATACGGGTGGAGGAGGGTAGGGCAAGACACAGCTTTTCTTCTATAGTCTCTGCACATGTAGAATGTATTTTCCTAAATCAAATGTTTCCATTTAAAAAAAAAATCACCCTTGGCATTGAGACTGGCTTTTACCAAATGTAGGAGGAGAAAGCTTTGCTCTTGCAAAATTTGGATTTTCTTATAAAGTATTTGTGTGCAGTTTTCCCTCTGGCTGTCAAGGGCAGCACTGAAGCTGCAGGACGTGAAGTAAACCCAGGCAAAAACGTTTAAGAGGAGAAAAATATTTAAGGGAAACTTGTAGTTTTCTTGATCACAAAGGTTAGTGTTGAAAATACTTTCAAAATAGATAGTTGAAAATAAACTTTCAGGTTAACCCTGTTCCCAGGACAATGATGAAGATTCAGTCTCTGAATGTGTTGCTACACAGAAATCTTATTATATTTTAAGTAGATGTTTTGGACACTACAAACTATCACCGTGAAAGGGCTCCAAACCATACTGCTGAGAAAGATTCACCTTTAGTGGTTTAGTCTCTCTGTAGTGTATATTCAGGAACCTTTTAGTGGCAGTTAAATAAGGCTTGCTTCTCCTATTGGTTATCACTCAAAATACAGCTATTTTATACCCTTAAAAATTTGTATTGTTATTCCTGTCAACTTATGAAGGCAGTTTTGTGTGTTTGAATATGACCTAATGTGGTTCAGTTTTTGTACTTGACAGAAGAAATTTGTTCTGCTTTTATCCAGTAAGGTGACATTCACCCTACCTATCATCTCTCACTGAGTATCAAGAGGTTTTCTGCTGCCTCCGATTTGGCTCATAATGCCAGCCTCCATCTCCCTTTTGTTTAACTTTCAGACAAGCACTTTCGTGGGGTTGTTTTCCCCTCATTCTCCTCAGGCTTGAGAAGAGCTCCCTGGGCACATCTGCAAAACCACCCGATTACCCTCCTCAAAATCCCCCCTTAAAACTCACCTGTGCTGTGAAGCCTACAAAAAACTTGGCAATGTTTAGGCCACTGGTGACCTGAAACCACAGCCTATCATGCTGACCAACAGTGCTCATTGTTTCCTTGTTCTGCCCCATCTGTCTGCATGTATCCATCTGTTGTCTCTCGTCTTTCTACTTAGATTGTAAGCTCCCTGAGGCAGGGATTGTGTTTGTTTGTACAGCACCTAACAGGGTCAGGTCCTGGTCCATGATGAGGGCTCCTAGGCACTACAGTAATACAAATAATTAGTAGTAGAAATTAATTTTTCCCCTCACAGTACCATATCTTTTCAGAGTCATTCTGTCAGACAGGAGAAGTTTCGGCTTCTTAATCAACTGCATTTTCTGACCATCATGTTTTTAAGCATTTTACAGTTGCTGTGGCAATACACTTAATGTGCAATCAGACTCCGGTGGTTACTGAGCATTACACTGCACACTAAGTTGTACTGTTGTATTTGCTGTTTGTAAATATATCTTGAACAAACACCACGGCCAGAAGAATATCGGTTCTAAAGCACTATCAAATGGAGGGTGGTTTCCGGATTAACTAGTCAGGCAGTAGACATTCACTACCTCCCTGTGTCTCGTACACAAGGTGTTAAAATGTGCGATATTTGCATAGCTGGTTTGAGTGCCCCAGTCTCGCTGATGGTCTGACACAACCTCGCATTTGTCAATGTTTTGCGCACATAAAATTGTCAGGTGGATTCACTGATGAAAACTCATTAGGCTTCTCTGCTAACTGTGGAATTGCAAGCATGAGTAGCAAGTAACCGTCTGCTTTTGCTAATCTGGTTGACAGTGAACTGATCTTTCGTGTGAGAGATGGTGTGCTACCAACTAGCATACTGACTCTCTTGATGGCAATGCCAGTATTCACTTTCAAAGGAAGTCTGCCAACTTGGAATGGAGTCTATTTAAAAAATGACTGAAAACTGTTTTCTGTTACTACAGCTGCCCCTGAATGCTCCTGCCTATTTTTGTAGTTTAACCATCAAACTTCCCTGCTTTAAAAAAAAAAAAAAAATTGTTTTCCTCTGCCTTGTGAAAGACCCATATGTACAGGAAGCTGACAGAGGTAGAATTTGACTATACAAAGTAAACAGAAAAAAAATCTTTCATTGTAATATCTTTCAGCCATGGTAATCTTAAATCTTACTTGTAACAACTGTAGTTTAAGAAAACTCCCATTTGACTGATTTTTCTTTTAAATTAATGTTCCTCTCTTTGAATAGTTTTCTAAGGTGCCTTGGAGTGTCTTCCTCTTTCTGTTTTTAGGTTTTGAAAGATGCAAATGACCTCCAGAAGAAATCTGCAACAAGGGAGATATAGGTTAGGAAAAACTTCCGAACTTTAAGGGTAGTTAAACACTGAAATCAATTACCTACGGAGGTTGTAGAATCTCCATCCATCATTGGAGGTTTTTAAGAACAGGTTAGGCAAATACCTGTGTGGGCTGGTCCAGATCAGTGGTTTTCAAACTTTTTAGGCTGCATACCCCTTTCCAAATAATGTAGTCTATCACATGCTCCCATCTGAAATTGGCAGAAGTGATGTGTGTGTGTTGTGGGGAGAGGGGTTCTGCCTTCCATTTAGCAACAGCTTCTAAAGGTTTTCAAACTGTATTGTGACCTTCCCCCCCCCCCCCCAGGGGGTGCAAAGGAATGCTTGCGGGGGAGGGATTAGCAGTTTTCAAAGTTTTTGAGCTGAAACCCCTCTCCTCCCCCCCCCCCCCCCCCCGAGTTACAATTTTTGGTTGCAAACCCCCACATACCCCCAACCCAGACAGACTGGGTGGCCCCGTGAGGTGAAGTGAAGCTCCCTCCCCAAGCCCTGCCCCCGTGAACATTCCTCCTTGTCCCTCTAGGGGGGCTCGCCCCACAGTTTGAAAACTTCTGATTGTGAGTCGCACAGCAGAAAGGAAATGTACACCAATGCAGCTTCAGTTTTAATTGAATGGTGATTAAACATTGATTAGATTGCCAAGTCTTACTAAATAAAATGCGTTGTCCATTGTTAGAGGATTTTTCTCGCTTACCCCCGATGAGAGTTCACGTACTCCTACAGGTATGTGTACCCCAATTTGAAAGGAGGCTCTGCTGTATTAGCAATGTGTCTGGTAGAGCTACTTTGCTAAACCCACTTTAAGGGGGTGCCTGACAGCCAACTGAGAGCAAAGCGATGATGCCCACTGCTAAGCTGTCTGTTTATTTCAATGGAAAAAGTGCTGTCCTAAACATGGCTAAGTGCTTTAAAAATAAATAAACCCAACACACCCACATGGCACTGTTGCAGTGTCTTGCTGGTATCCCCATGGAACAGCTCTTGGATTTAAAACATAGACTACACTGGAAATGCCTCTGACATATCTGTGATATAGCAAATGTCTGCATGTCTAATGCTGGTAACCCACTTAAAGGTGCCTTATCGGTTTGTGTTTTTGTGATGTAGGTCGCTTGCACAAATCTAGATGTGGATCTGATATGCATAAATGTAACAGAAAAGCTGCCATTCTACTTCCGAAGACCCCCTGTTAACATGGTAAATTTGCAACTAAATTATTTGCTGCTACTAAACTCAGTATTTAATATTAACACAACTGAGGTTTTTCACTGGAGTGGTTCTTTTCCTGCTTTTGTACTACAGGGTGGTTTTTCTTTGCAAATGTGTTCCCTCCTTACCTTTCTACACTATGACTAAACTGAGGTCTCATCTGTGTAACGCAGTGCTTCACTAAATGAAATCAGTGCCAGCCGATGGAATTGCTGAATATTTGATACTGGATAGAAGTTAGAGTAAAAACAAAGCGTCAGCCATTTATAAACTATCTTTTATAAATAAAATCCTGCCCACACAACTTAGTCTGGATTCTTACATCAGATTCTTTCCTTGAGTATGGACCAGTGTCAGCTCCTTGTCAGTGGCATGGGTGGGCATCCATGGGTAGACTTTAGTCCTTGTTGTTGAAAAATTTACAGCTAGAGCTGGCTGGAAACTTGAATTCCTGTTCCATGGGAATAACAAAAAAAATTGTTCTGATATGGAACAAAAAATGAAATTTCTAAATTTCTCACCGAACAGAAATTTCAGCATCTTGTTTGGGGGAAAAAAATCTGAAACAACATTTTTGTTTTGACCTCTCAAAATGTTTCTGAGGCTCCCAGAGCCCCAGCAGTTCTCCATGTGAGGAGCTGGTCAGCTCAGGGACCCTGAGGGTATGTCTACACACCAATATAAACCTGGGCCCAAGCCTAACCTCCCCTTACGTCCACACATCAATTGTGTTAACCTAGGGCTCAAACCTAGCACCCCAGGACCCTGCAGGACTGGAGGGTCCAAGCAGGGCCGGCTCTAGGCACCACCAAAACAAGCAGGTGCTTGGGGCGGCATTCCGGCGCTGCCCACGCCGCCCCTAGAAATGGGCCCCAGCTCCCCTCCACTCTGCCTCCGCCTGCTCCCCTGAGCACGCCGCCGCCGCTCCGCTTCTCCCCGCTCCCTTCCAGGCTTGCCACGTGCGAAACAGCTGTTTGGCGTAGCAAGCCTGGGAGGGAGGGAGGAGAAGCCAAGCAGCTGCGCGCTTGCGGGAGGCAGCGGTGGTGGAGCAGAGGCGAGCTGGAGCGGGGAGCGGTTCCTCTATCTCCTCTCCCCCCCGTTACTTCCTGCGCTCCTCCCCCACCCCCCGCTCACCTCCACTCCGCCTGCTCCTGTGAAAGTGCTGCCTCTCCCACGCCTGGGGGGGGGGGAAGAAGCGGAGCGGTGGCGTGTTCACGGGATCAGGCAGAGCAGAGGTGAGCTGGGGGCGGTGGGGGGAGAGAGCCGCAGGAAGCAACGTGGGGGGGGAAATGTGGCATGCCAGGGGGAGGAGGCAGGGCCAGGGATTTGGGGAAGGGGTTGGGGCGGGAGAGGCACAAAAAAAAAGCAGAGGCGGCCAAACATTTTTTTGCTTGGGGTGGCAAAAATCCTAAGAGCCAGCCCTGGGTCCACGCCCAGGTTAAGCTGGGACCTAGGGTCAGAGCCCTATTGCTTTCCTGTGTGCACGCAACTCCAGCTTGACTCAGATCCCAGAAGGCCTCTGAATGTATCCCAGAGTTCCCTGGGGCAGCTTCCTTAGTTCTCTCTATGCCAACAGTCTGTGTTGCACTCTGTTGCAAATGGAGCACACTGCACCAAGCCCTAGGGATGCACTTCACCACTCTGCAGACAGCAGCAGCCAGGCTGGTGGGAGTGTTTTTCCTCTGAAACCTACATTTTATGTCAATTTCAAAAACTTAGAACTTAGAAACTTCAAAACAGACAAAAAATAAATTAAAAAACCAACCAAACAAAAATACCTTTGCTGTACATCCCATTTTAAAAATTCAGAATCACAATGTTTCCTTTCAATAGTTTGAAAACTCTGAACGCTGATGTCGTAATTATCCTGAGAACAGGTGCCCATGGGCATTTTCCCACCAATGTGACTCAGCCTAGAGGTAGAGAGCCCAATTCTCAGATTAGAGGGTAGTCCAGTATAAAGCTTCCTCAAACTGCAGTCATTGTCCTGAGACAGCCACCAAAGGAGCTAGTTATGAAGTTTATGTACTTGTGGGCACCTGAGTTGCATCAATGGCACCACCCCAGTATGGAAACAGGGTGAGCAGTAGCGTTTTTCCACGGTGCATCACATTCGAAGGGCGAGAGCAGTGGTTCCCAAACTTTAACAACCTATGAACCCCTTTCACTAAAATGTCAAGTCTCGCAAACCCCCTTCTAAAAATGAATATTTCCAGGGATTTTCTCCTTTACCTGAGCATAAATTATAAAAGCGGTGATCTTGGAACTATAAAATTTGTTTTTATGACATGCTCATTACACACTATTTATTATTAATTATTATTTATCATTATAGTATTTTTATTACATTATGAAGACGGCAACACTCTTCCAAGATCTCACTTTCGTAGCTTGTATCACTTTGAATAAGCCTGTTATAAGACAAGGCTCCGATGTTTCATCCAGGAGTATCAGATGTGAAACAGCATGAAGGGATTTAAGAAGCCAACTCAAAGAGTTCCTCCTGTACAAGCATTCGGGTCTTGAGGAGTCCAGGCAAACAACGCACGTTACAACAAAGCTTAAACTTGTTCTTCGTAATAATTTTAAAAACAATACTAGCTACCTATTTAATTTTAAAAACAGCAAAAAATATCCACCTCCCTTTCCATTTCTTATAAGGAGTCTTGAAGTTTAAATCTCCTCAGTGTGATAGATATGTTTGCTTTGATCTGCTTAGTTCTTGGAAGTCCAGGGGCTCCAGGCTGCTGGCCCTGTGCTGCCCTGGGTCCCTTGGGACAGTTCTGTCCGCCATTAGGGAATTTTTTCCCGAGAACCCCCTATAACATTTTGCGAACCCCCCCGGGGTTCATGAACCCCAGTTTGGGAACCACTGGGCTAGAGTGTTGACATTGTGGCGGGGAGGAGTGGCACTAGGCACTCTAGGATACGGTTACTTTGACTCAGGTCTGTGCACTGCAGTGTGGATGCCAGAGCCCTAGGTTCAAGCACAGGTCAGAAAATCCTTAACCTAGGGTTAAAATGCAGTGTAGACACTCAAGCGCAAGGTTCCCTGACATGGGTCATCTGACTCGAGTCCTAGTAACCCAAGGCTTATGTTGTTGTGTAGACATACCCTGAGAGCCCCAGCTCTGGCACAGGCCATCTGGTGGACTGCTGAGATGCTGGAAGCCTTGAAACTCAGGCTTCTGAGGACTGGGGCAACAAGCTGGCTGGAAGTCAGTCAGGTTTCTGACTGAAACCTGTTTGGCAGGCAGGTTTCCCTGGTTCTGACCAGCTCTAATGATGATGTTTGATAAATCTCATGCTTGGGTGCATGTGGAGGAGAGGCACTGAAGATAATTGGACAAATGGAATAAGAAGGTTCTCTTTTGTGTAGTGCAACATCTTGCTATAAAGCTCCATAACGCTAGTGTGAGACCGTGTTGTGCAGTGAGCTGACCACAGAGCCAAGAGCTTATCTGCAAAAGTGAGAATATCTGCTTCACAGAGAGGCTGTGAGGGTGGGTTAATGTTCTTTTGTTCCGTGTCTGTACAGCACCTAGCATAATGAAGTCCTGGTCCATGGCTGGGGCTCCTAGGTACTACCACAATAGAAATAATAAATAACAAACTGTACTACAACCTACTGTCCTTCAAAAATTGTCAAATGGGGTGGGGAAGATTTAATTAACTTCGCTCTTCTCCCGGAATAACTTCTCTGTTAGTGAGTACTTGAGTACTGTGGTGATGGGTGCTAGGGAGAACCCTCAACTTTGGAAAGTGATACTCTTCAAAGCCAGCTATGAAGCTGCAGAAGGAGTGTTCTGACAATTTTTACAGTGCCTGTCTGTCCATGAAATGCTCTAATGATTAGCCAGGTCTTCAGACTTTCGAGCCATGATTGGCCTTCTGAAGAGAAGAAACTTCCCACTGTTCTCTTTCTTTCACGCTTTGAGACTTCCACACTTGCAGCTGATCAACTCTGATGTCTCTTATCTGAGCAGTCTTGGAAAGCCTATTACAGCCTGGCAAGTAGAGAGGAAGAGGCTTTTTTTTTTTTTTTTTTAAATAAGCCTCAGTTACCTGACAGTCTTAAGTTCAAATGCATTTACATGGCGTACAGACACAATGTCTTTATTTTAACCCTTCAGACTACAGTGTGTTTCTATCAGAACAATTGCCGCATGTTAGTTTTGTATATAAAGCGGTAGAACTGAGAGAAGAAGTCATCAATAATAGGCACTAGTTGTAAGATTGTTATGCGACTCTGCTTTCGGTTTTTGATTATTTTCTTTCTTTCATGTGAAGGCAATAGATCGCGGCATTTACTTTGAACTTCTTTACACCCCTGCCATCAAAGACTCCACAATGAGAAGATACACAATTTCAAATGCTCTTAGTCTGATGCAGATCTGCAAAGGAAAGGTGAGTTCTCAAACGGAAATAAAATTAACTCAGTCAGTTGTTCAAATTCTTCTGGAGTTGCATCGGCTGAGCAGTTTCAAGGAAGTTTGATGCTGGAATTTCTGAACACGTGACTGAGCCTTTGCCTGCCAAAGAAAAGAAAAGAAAAAAGAGCATCATAATTACACTCATTCCATCTACACTGGAATAAAAAAAACCCATGGCACAGCTGTGTCTGGCTCAGGTCAGCTGACTCAGGCTCATGGGGCTTGGGCTGCAAGGCTGTGAAATTGCTGTGTAGATGTTCAGGCTCAGGCTAGAGCCCAGGCTCTCAGACCCTCCCCACCCATGGGGTCCCAGACCTCAGGCTCCAGCTTGAGCCTGAACGTCTACACAGCAATTTCACAGCCTCGTAGCCCGATCCCAAGTCAGTTGACCCAGGCCAGTTGCAGGTGTGTAATTGCTGTGTGGACGTACTCTTAGTTACAACCCTTCACCCACAGATGTGAAAAAAGCCAGAGTTACATCAGCTGTGGGATGAGCTAAATAGTCTGTCTCTGTGTTTTGGAGTTGAACACACAAAACAAAACCCCTAACTCTTCCAAGGGCTGGATTTTTAAAAATTTTTTGACGGGGGTCGAAAAACACACCCCAATACTAATAGTACTAATTCAGCAATGGGCAGATCAAATCTTCAGTACATTTTGACCCCTATTAACAAGTATACTGGCTAAAAGCACTAGCTTGACGTCAGCCAGTGAAAACCCATTAATATAATCCACTGACTTATCACTGATAATACTGATTGCCCTCAATATCAGCATCTATGCATTCATAAGAAAGTGGTGGGGGGAGGAAGAATACCACACTCCTCTCCCATCTCCCTGGCTGGCTAACTCCCCTCTTTCCTTCACTAGGCTTCTATGGGACCCCTAGGCCATGGCAGAGGGTGAGTGTTTCGGGGGCTCACACATCCCAGTTCTTTGCATAGTTGCCACAGTTCCTTTAATGTTGAACCCCAAAGGACTCTTGCCTGTAATGACTTTAGATAAGGTGCTCATGGAAACCTACCTCTAAAGCATTAGCCTTAAAGATCTCTCATACCATTTTAAAGATGAAAATAGGGCTGTGGGATTCCTTCTCAAAGCCTGAGCTGTGAGGCCTCAGCACTCTTCCCACTCTGACATCATTGACACTTAAATACCACACGACTCCTGTTAGGGGGATATGGCCCATTTGCTGCTCTTCTACATGGCTTCACTTGACCCTCCACTTTCCCAACACAAGGAGTGGAGCATGGATTTGAGGAGAGCAACTGCGTGCACAAGTAGGAGCTCCGATTACCTCAGAGGTATCTGTATTTCCATGGAACGACCTCACTGTCTCCACTATGCACAAGACTTCTTCAGGTGCTGAGCAGGAAAGGACGTGCAGACCCTTATGGCTCAGAGAGCACTGGAAGCAGAAGTAACCCACAGAGGAACTTCCCCTCACACATCAGGAGAGATCCCAGGAGATTTTTTTTTGCTTTGCAGGTCAGCTTTAAACCTGCTTAGTATGGATCTCAAGGGTGCCTTTGAGTTTCAGCGATGCTGACTGCGTCAGCTGGAAAAATTAAGCCTGCTGCTTTGAGCTGCAGCAGCCAATGCCTGTCTTCCAGGCTCTATGCAGGAGAACAGACAGCAGAGTCCAGGAGGTGGCAACATCATAACTCCCCTTAGCTGGAGGGAGGCCAGAGGAGAGTCCCTGCCCAGTGCTGAGGCATGCGGGCACGGGAGGCTGAGAAGAAAGATTCAGGAGGTGGTGCTACCTATCACATCTTCATGGAGAAAGGGAAGAAAGCAAGCTGCGATTCCTCCTCCTCTCTACTGAGGACTGGTGGGTAGGAGTCTGATACACTGCTATGCATGAGATGTGAGGCTCCACCAGGATTGACAGGCTACTCTGGTGGAATGCAACATATCAATAGGAGGGACATGGGGATCTTCAGATATAAGACTTTCTGCCCTGCTTCTGAAACTGAGGAATGAAGAATGTAGGATAGAGCTATTTCAGCCAGAAATCTGCCCTGTGGCAGCCAGCAGCATGGGCTCGTTTTATGTAATAGGAGTTTAGTGATGTTTTCACTTAATTGTTTTTACATACATGCAAGATTCTGTATTTAAAGTATTTTGTAAGATATGATACGGTATGATACGATAGTTTAACATATGTACAGGTGCCTAGATCTATAAGATGTGCTTTTTGTCATTTAGAAATTCACTACATACCTTTAACAATATGCACAAACATCTGTTTTTGTGCAAACCTTAAGTCACCAGAACCGTTTTTTGTGAATGCCCTGCATTGCCCCAGTATTACATCTGCAGTAACTGACCGGTTGCTCTGAAAAAAATCGACCATTTTAAAAGCATCGGCTTTAGAAAAGATTAGATGTTCCATAATTAAGGGTATTGGTAGCTGGAATTTTTCTTTTCTTTTCTTTTCTTTTTCTTTTTTTTCTTTTGGTATAGACTCTTGGCCCAGTAAGCTCTGCAACTTGCAGAGCTGGTAGATGGTTTTAGTTTGTTTGTAAGGAGCCATGATCTATAATCTTCATGGATTTGCCTGTTCCAGAAAGCAGCAGATATTTTAGCTAGATAACAGAATTAACTCTTAACTTTAAATGATATTCATAGGAGTATTAGTGTTGGGTTTATGTTAATCTTCAATTTATTAATAACATTTATCTAAGATTAATGCTTGTTCTCCTTTATTCTCTAGAACATAATTATATCCAGTGCAGCTGAAAGGGTAAGTCAGTATTTTTTTAATGTAAATAAGTTTAATGTAAATAAATTTCTGCTAGAAATATAAGCATCAATATAATTACCCTTTTGAATTTTTATTTTGGTTTCTTGTGTATCACTTTATTGCATTTTCTTAATTCTGCTAGTGGAAGTGGGCACTTCCTGTTTTCCCTTGGTGATAGCAATTGTCTTGCTCTCATGTTAGCATCTTCAACAACTCGGGAAATTATTAATTTAAATTTCATATAATTAATTTAACAGTTAATGGCTGATAGTTTCTGTAAATAATCTTATCTTGCAAACTGTGACTCTCTAAAATAAATAGAGGGGGTGTGTAGATATTCTCACTTGTGTCTTTTGTTTTAGCCATTAGAACTTCGAGGTCCTTATGATGTGGCTAATCTGTATCCTTTCCCAAGTAAAATCTGATCTTTAAGAATAATGTAGGAAACTTGCAGTTGACTTTCAAATATTTTGGTATTGCAATAAAAGTATTTCTATGCCTTTATCTCCCCCACCCTCCAGACCTTTTTAAAATTTGTGACTTACGTAATTGTGACTTACATAGTGATTGTAACAGAACTCATGGCAGCAGGAAGGTTGTTTGAATTATTAATTTCAGAACCAAATTCATAGACTAAAATCTCTTCTGTATTTCTAAAGTATGTCTCCAGCTGCAGTGTTGAATAAAACAAAGTTTAAAAATAAAATAAAATAAAAATACCTTTCTGTGAAAAGATAGGGTGCAATCTATCTGTACTAGAACTCTTTCAACATAAGCATTGCAACTATAAAAAGACTGTTAAATAACTCTAATTTGCTTTGTCCTCAGTAGGAGTGTTTGGGTTCTTTTGTGATTAGGTAAACTATAATGCTTTTATAATACAGTGTCAGATCTGAGAAACAGATTTTGGCTTCACGCTTTAATACTAGAGAATGACAATACTGCAACTGGCAATAACAAAACAAAACAAAAAAAAGTAAAGTCTCCGCGTTCTAGTTTGTCACTCTTGGAGAATATGGGTATGTGTACACCTGCTATATTTCATACCATGAGGCCAGTTGACGATTTCCTTCCTGAATCAGGATTCTGAATGGGTATGGGAGAGTGCCAAACTTGTTTTGTCTGATTAGAAAGTAGATCCAAGTTTCCTTTTCTTCCCAAATTAGGAGGATTCTCCCCCTCCTGCAAGACTTCAGAATCCTCTGTAGGATGGAAATTCCATTTTCTGGCCAACTCCTAGTCCCCTTCACAGTGCCCTACCAAACCACGTTTCAAACCAGGTTCGATGGAACAGCATATAAACATGGTTTCCTAACTTCATTGAAAGGCTAGTTTGGACAGGGAGAAGTCTGGAGAAGAATACTCAACTGGACTGAAGATTCTGTCCTCAAAAGGGAATGGGTTCTTCAGCTTAGGGCCTGATTCAGCCTTGCTTAGGGCCTGATCCAACAGTAGAATCAATAGAATGTTGACAATGTAAGTACTTCCATTGGCTTCAGTAGGCATTGAATCAGATCCTCTATACTTTAAGTGCCATCCATATAACAGTACCACTCTTTGAGTAACTTTATGCAAGATGTCATTCTGACTTGCAGCTTTGATAGTTCCCAGTTACTTGTCAAGTGACCAAATCTACCCCAGGGGAAAGAACCTCTTAATCTGTTCACTCCTTTTTGTACACTAAGCTCCTTAACAAAGGTGACAGAGGTTTGTTGTTTGGCCTGTCTGAAAGTGACGCCAAGGCAGCTATTTCTACCAACTGCAGAGCAGTCCTCCTTCATGGAGGTGAGTAAATAGCACAACTATCTTCTGTTTCACATTAATTTACATATTTTTTTTTAGTAATGCAGCTCTGACACCTTATTTTCCAAATGGTGCTGGGCCCTCTCTTAAAGGAAGAGTCTTCTTGGAATTCTTCTTTCTCTAGGTGATGATCCACAGGTGCCTCTTCTCCATTCCATGTACTTTTCTCTCCCTCAGTGCAGTGGCCTCCCCCAAGGAGTAAGAGGAAATGAATGGGTCTTGCCAGTGGTGGTGATTGCCTTGGAATACTTATAATAGTACTTATGGGGCTCCTCTGGGAAAGCACAGATCATAGAATCAAACCGCACATCAGTCTATTACATTATGTAGCAAAATAGCATTTTGATTCATAAGGGCCAAATCCTGGACTGGCTGAGATCAGTGGGAACTTTGCCAATGACTTCAATAGGATCAAGATTTGGCCTTAAATGACAGCAGATTCTGTTGCATTCACACTCTTTATGCATGTCTGTAGATGCCCCTGTCTTCCCTTTGTGACTTTTCATTTTACATTGACTTTATTCATTGCTGCAGTATGCTGTGAGAGCACTTCATGAATGATGTGAAATCAAACTCAGTGTTCTCTCGTTGGTAAGAAATGTTACTAGCAGAGGTGCAATGTTCTGAGGTATTAGAAGATTAGAACTTGTATCACTGTGCTTTCAGCATAGAAATCTATACAACAACTATAATTCTTATATGCTCATATATGTCATCATTGAACAATAGGCAGAAGGCAATTTGGCTCTTACCTACTACAGTGGAAATCAACAATCTTCCAGTTGTATTATGTGCTGCATTCACTGGCACATAGAGATGAATAAGACAACATGCCATATATCAATTTAAACATCCTAGTTTCCCAGTTAGCCACTTTACAGCGTGCCACTAATTCCTCTCCCCACTCCCTCCCTCCTCCCCCAATAAAAACTCTTATCACCTCTTAGCAACTCCTTGTTTTAATTTGTTTACTCTGGCTTGAATCTCTTTCACTGTAAGAGAGGTCTGCCATGTGTACCATAATAAGTGGTGTGAATGACTGGTCAGTTTTGACCATAGAAATAATTTAATGCCAGAACTGAGTTGCTCTATGTAGAGAAGACACACTGGGTCTGGACCTGGAACTCTAACTACAAAACAGGTGGGACCTGAAACTGTTGTCAATGGCATGTTTGACTTCATGTAGAAGTCTGAGCCTATTCACTGTGAGCCTCTATCCTCTTGCCAATCTGCAGTGACAGTAGTATATTGAAACTGCATTGCCCTGACACACAGTGTACTTGCTCACCCTTTACCGTGATGTTGAAAAAAGCTGATATTTTCTTTACCTGTCCAAAAAAAGTGCTTGCCCAGGATGAGTGAGCAGTTCTTTTGCAAGGTTATCTTAAGGTAGGTTTCCTGTCTGCTAGCAATACGTGTATTGTACATGGAGTTTTTTTTCTTCCCAACAACTAGACGAGTATCTTTCCAATTAGTGTTGGTGAAAATTGCATGTATGGCTTGGGGATACTAGAATACTTGACAAGTGGTGGTGTTAGGTGCCATTATAACTTCCCGTATCAGTTTTCATCCTTCTGTAAAGTAAAGTGTTTTTGAATAGATTGAAATGCTTTAGGTGCAGGTAGATAGAATGAAAATGCTGAAGAGGGTAACACTCAAGTCTGTGTTATGCCGTTGCTTTTTAATACTTCAAAAGTAAGATGCCCCCAAATCAGATTTTAAAATAAAAATTTTACTTATTGTGAAGGCCTGAACTGATCCTGATTTGAAGTTGGACAATGCATTACGATTTTTAAATGTCCACTTTTAAAATCTTGGGATGCAAAGGAATTTTAAAGAACAAGAAATTTTGTTCAGAAGTGCTGAGCTTTTTCAAATACTCTGGAGAAAAATGTTATATCTTCCAAAAGACAACATGTGTATCCATTCAGACACACTGCGGTTGGCCTTTCTGCAAGGCCTTTTCACATGGAATACAAATAAGATTTCAGGAGTGGAAAATAAAGCCTAAACTTTTATCTAGTTGCTTTTTATAGCTTGGTGAGTTTAAAACATTGTGGCTGTGTTGTGACTATTATTCTGCCTTCGACCTTAAGGGCTTGTAAATGAAACCACATTTCAAAACCCTCACAGCTAAATAAATGCTTTGTGCAGCACTTGGGTGGTAGCCTTGTTCTAAACCAATTAAACTACCCTAGACTCATAGATTCCAAGGCCAGAACATGCCATTGTGATCATTTAGTCTGACCTCTTTTATAATACAAAATAACTCCTAGAGGATATCTTGTAGAAAAATATCCAATCTTGATTTGAAAATTGTCAGTGACAGAGAATCCACCATGACCTTTGGTAAATTGTTTCAATGGTTATTTACTCTGTGTGAAAATTTTATGCCATATTTCCAGTCTAAAATCGGTCTAGCTTTATCTTCAGGCTATTGGATCATGTTATAACTTTCTTTGCTAGACCGAAGATCCCAATTTTTGGTCTGCTTGTAGGTACTTGCAGACTGTAATCAAGTCACCTCTGAACCTTCACTTTGTGAAGCTAAATAGATTGAGCTCCTGGAGTCTATCACCATAAGGCATGTTTTCTAATCCTTTAGTCATTCTCGTGGCTCTCCTCTGAATGTCTCCAATTTTTCAACATCCTTCTTAAATTGTGGGCATCAGAATACTAGAGAGAGTATTCCAGTGCCAAATACAGAGGTAAAATAATCTCTTTACTCCTACCCGAGGTTCCCCTGTTTAGAATTGAATTAGCCCCTTTGGCAACAAGGTCACACAGGGAGCTCATGTTCAGTTCATTACCTAACATGACCCCCAGATCTTTTTCAGTATTATTGCTTCCCGCAACAGTGTTCCCCGTTCTGTAAGAATGGCCTACATTTTGTTCCTAGATGTATACAGTTATGTTTTAGCTGTATTAAAACACACATTGTTTGCTTGCACCCTGTTTAACAGGCGATCCGGATAGCTCTGTATTAGTGACCTGACCTCTTAATTATTTACCACTCCCCCAATTTGTGTGTCATCAGCAAACTTCATCAGTGGTGATTTAATGTTTTATTCCAGGTCATTGAATAAAATGTTGAATAGTATAGAGCCAAAAACATATCCCTGTGCGAACACACTAGGAACACACCCCTTTAGCTATGATTCCCCATTTACAGCTATATTTTGAAGCCTGTCAGTTAGCCAGTTTTTAATCCATTTAATGTGCGCCATGTTAATTTGCTATTTTTCTAGCTTTTTAAATCAAAATGTTGTGCAGTACCAAATCAAATGACTTACAGAAGTCTAAGTATATTACATCAACACTGTTACCTTTATCAACCAAACTTGTAATCTTTTAAAATATCATCCTAAAAAAAGGTATCATGTTAGTTTGACAGGACCTATTTTGCATAAAACTGTGATGATTTGCATTAATTACATTATCCTCTTTTAGTTGTTTATGAATTGAGTACTGTATCAGCTGCTCCATTATCAATTATCAATGTCAGTCTGACAGACCTATAATTACCCAGGTTACCCTGTTCACCCTTTTTACATGTTGGGGCAACATTAGCTTTCTTCCAGTCTTCTGGAACTTCTTCAGTGTTCCATGACTATTGAAAACCAACATTAAGAGGAAAGTGAGCTCCTCAGCCAGCTTTTCTAAAATTTTGGTTGCAAGTTATCTGGACCTGCTGATTTAAAAATGGTTAACTTTAGTAGATGCTGTTTAACATCCTCCTGAGATGCTAGAGGAATGGAAAGTATGTTATCATATGATGACATTGTATCATCTGTTTATTTCGCCAAATACAGAACAGAAATATTTAACACTTCTGCATTATTATTGATAATTCTACCACTTCCATCTACTAATGGATCAATACCATTGACAGAATTCTTTTTGTTCCTAATATATCTAACTTCCTTATTGTCCTTAACGCTGCTGGCCATGGCTTTTTCCTTGTGTCCCTTTGCTCCCTTATCAATTTTCTACAATTTCTAACTTCTATATATTCGTTACGGTCAACTTCAGTGTTCTTCCATTTATGTATTAGGGTTTTTTTGTAGCTGCCTTTGCTTTCCTTCGAAACCATTTTTTAACCAATATGGCCTTCTTCCTTGATTGTGGATTTTTGGGCATCTAGTAAAATTAGCAGAATTAGCATAAGGATTATTTATGCCCTACTGCTGTAACTAGGTGCTAATTGATTAATGCAAAGCCACACTGCCACTACTTAAAAGTATTACAAGTCGGTGCAAAACTGTTATTCTCTCTGTGGTATTAAGCTGAAACAAATCCACTTGATTTTGTATTTTAACTAATTGTCCAATTTATAAGATATTTTTAAGTGGGTTTGGCAGTTTTAGCTGCTTCTGTTATATCAAGAAGTCCTAAAGGCCTTTTTAGTCTTTCAGGATAATCTTTATTTTTCCTTGTTTGTTTTTTTAACTTCAGAAATATTGGGTATATCAAATTTGATGTTCCCTGGTTTTGCTGGAGCATCACTTGGGGACTGTTTGGGACGGGGGAAGAGGAAGGGGAGAGTCATGCAAGTGACTACTGTGAGATTGCACGCCTTAGCTGAAGGGAAGCAGGGTGTCAAATGTTTAACAGACGCATCTTTTCTCTAAAATGTTCATTAGTCCATTGATTGTAGCCAAAGGAAAACAGAGTTTTAAACAGTCTGAACAAGTCCTTGTTCTGTTATAATTCAGCTTTGTCTCCTGACTCTTGTGAAGTCATAATATAATTAGTTCTCCCATTGCTGTAGTCTCCAGGCAAAACAAAGACCTGAATTTCTATCTTTTAATTTCTGCTTTAAAAAAGCACAAACCCTTTCCAGCCTTCTTCAGGGCACAAGCCCACTTTTCTCTCTCCCTTTTCAGGTCACCTTCAGGAGCTACTTCCTACCCTCAGTTACTATCTTGTAGCCTCCTAAATCATGGGCTTACAAGGATCTGAAAGCCATATTTGCCCCTTGTCTATCTTATGGCAAGTATTCCTGTGTTCTCTACGTTCAGAATCTCAGGAATTGAGACTATAGAAAATACAATGTATAGATATTATCCTGTCTAATATTGGTGACCCGTTTTGGGTCTTATCTACGCAGATAACTATGTACCTTATAACTGACCAGTGCAAGTCATTGCTTATTCCTATGCAGCACATCTGCACTTGGGGTTTGCACTGGAACAGCTGCACCAATAACCAACTTTAAACCATCCCCACCCTCCTGGTACACAAGACCTTCAGCTCTTTCCCTACTGATGGTGCCGGAAAGTTCAGTGTGCATGCTTTCTATGTCAAGTGAGTGAAGTGTGGAAACTGTGCTCTCCACAATAGTAGTTCCAGAACAAGTCCACTGAACTCCTCTGAGACATCACAGGAGGATCCCCAAGAAATAGAGGAATGGTAGGTAGTAAACTCACTTGCATGTATCAGGATGAGCAGATGAGCAGGCGTGGGGATTGAATTAGTGATCCCACTTCCTTTTCCATTCCCTATGGCCTGTGGGGTCTTGTGATGCCAAAAGTCAAGATAATTATGCCTGAAGAAGAGGAGCTGGGTGTCTGGGGGACTCAGTGAATGTGAGTGGAATGCAATTTGCAATGGCCCTTGTGTGAAACATACAGGAATCTGTTCTCCAAAATCTGAGAATTTGGGGTTTTCCTTTGGGAAGGAGGAATCCAGCAGTCTCTGCAAAGCTGGATGAAATGACCTTGTTAGCATCTTGTTACCCAGTTCTGTGGTATAATTTAGGAGACTGAAATAATTAATCTTTTGAATATGCACTTGTTGTTCTTGGGTTTGAGCATCTTTGTGTCTGCTGCCTTTTTTAATGTGTTTGAGTGCTCTCATTTTAATGCTTCATCACTGTATGAAATGTACAGGCTGCTACTATGGAGAGCAAAGGGGACGCAATGCCACATGAAAAGAGGGAATTTGGGATTGGCAGAATGAGGCAATCTGGAGTTACCTCCCATATGAAATAGGCAACAGAATGCAAATTTGAGAAGTACTGCATTAGTAACATACAATTCAGATCCATTGCATTGTGCTGGCATTATCTGTGGGGGGGAGATGGAGAAGTACTTGTTAGGCACAAGTATGGAAACAGACTGAAATGAGCAGTTAACATATTCATATCACTTTTACTTGATCTGTTTTAAACTTTGGTTTTTTTCATTTTTAAATTCCAGAAACCAGAAAGACTGCGTTTGGGGTGGTGTACACGAAGAAAACCCCCCGAGCATCAGAGGAGGAAGGTGTTCTCCCAGTCTGCAAGAAAGCCAAGACTGAAGTATGAGGATCAAACCCAACTTCTCAGCTTCCACAAAGTCCTTTCCTCCCATGCTACCCACCCACAATTCTTTGATGCATTATTTTAATTTGTTCCGCTAAGAATATTTTATTAAAAAAAAATGTTTGTGCAAGAATAAGGTTATTGAAATCCGTAACATTTCACCCCAGCAGAATGATCTTACTGCTGATGGCAAAAGGATAATGTAGGACTGGTTTGCCGCTGCAGGCCAATGGGGGCTGTGGGAAGCAGCCAAGGGATGTGCTGGCTGTTACAGCGTGAATTTTACAGCTACATACATCTTTCTATACGTTGACATGATTTTACAATTAGCCCTTCTAAAACGTGATCACCACTTCTTCTCTTCATCAAAGTTTAGAAAGCTTCCAGATATTTTACCTTACCATTGCAAGCCAGTACCCACAATCCCCCCACTGGCATAAGAAAAATAGTTGCGTGGTGCAGAATAGCATTGTCTAATTTTGTTTCATTATGATAGTCTGCTGAAAGGGAGATTCTGGCATCTTTGAATTGCAAAGAAATCCCTTGTCAGTTACTTGTATTACAATAGCTCCTACTGGCTTGAGCCCATTATATTAGACATGATACAAAGATATAACTAAAAGACAGTCCCTGCCCAGAAGATCTTAAAATCGAAATATAATACGAGACAACGGCTAATTATAGCAGACACACAAGAAGAGCCTAAGGTAACAGTGAGATGAGTGTGATCAATGCGATAAGCAGAGGTCACAACATGCCAGCTGCTTAACCTCTGTCGCAGTAACCTTAGAGAAATAAAACTTGCATTAGGGTCTATGTTCTCCAGCAAGAGCATCTATTCTGTTACCAGTTCCTACCTCAATGCGTGTAATCCAGCTGCCTGCAGATTATAATCAACTCCCTCCTGGAAAACGTTTTTAGGGCTCTTCCAAGTCTTGATTAAGGCTTTTCTTTTGATGGTGAACTATATGAAAGAGGGGTAAGAGACTGCAATGGACCGGCTGTGTGTCAAACTATGACGATTTCAGCCCTTTGGCCACCGCTGGAAGCAAGCTGAGAAATGCTAATTATAGCTTGTAACATGCTGCAGGGGTCCTTTTGCAGTAGATTTACAGAAGGTAAAACTCAACAATTGGACTAAGCACCATGGATGGAGTTTTGCTTTAAAATACACGAACATTTTTAGAAATGGAGTGTGTTAGTCACAAGAAGCTTTTGAGTTTACAATGCAATTTTTGCCCTTGATGCCGTTGACTTTCTTTGACTTTGTGCTTGACCTGTGTCCTGTTGTTGTCAGTCACTGGGTATCATTACATTAGTTTGTCCTTTAATGAATCATAAACAAGATCCTGATATACTGGCTGAAACAAAAGAGGAAACTAAATCCAGCTGACTACTAACTATGAGAGTGGCACTGCCTTCTCTTGCCATGGCCAGAGAGGTACTTGCTTTGAGCAAGAGAGTAATTGCTTGTTGAATGATGCATAGAGAGAGGTTTGTGAACATGGAACAAGCAGCATGGTAATCTGGTTTACTATTTAACATCAGTTCCATGCTGGAGATAACCTTGCTAACAGCCTATACTATTTGTTCTTTATCTCCTCCCTCCCAAGCACTGTTAGAATAGTAGGGGAGACAACATTTAATTCTTTAAATTTAATTTTGTTTTTCTGTCACACTAGCCTCTGAGGCCTGGACTGTATAAATATTTCTCAAGTATAAATGTGGACAAAATAAAAAGAGCCTATTTCATGTCCTTTTTCCAGCAAGTTCCGTTCTCGGCTCTCATGGACACTGAGCTGGTCTAGTGCACAGAAAAGCAGCGTAGCTGCAGTATGTGGGTGGTGGGCAGTGACAGGGATCTACTATGACTCAACAAAGAGGAGCCTATTAGTGAGTCCCAGCATTTACAAAGATTTTTGTAAGTACTTGCATATAGTGGGCTGGATTAATTAGGGGGCACTTTGGAAAACACTTGTCCGAGAAGAGGATGATCTGTTTCATTCATCATCAAGATAGGTGGCTGCTAATAGAATTCTCTAGGTATTGATGCTTTGTGGGTAGATCACATCTGTGTTCTTTTGTTGTCATGTTTGGTTATAATCGCACTCCTATGCAAAGCCACACTTTTGTAATACAGTATTCACACCTACTGCCAAAGTCTAAATATAATTAACTGTTTTTAAATGACTGTCCTACCCCATCATTTGCAGCAATGTATCACAAGGACTTGATTTAGGTTTCTTTCTAATGTTTGCAGACTCAAGTGTGACTGAACTGGGGGAGGAAGGAATACACAATGGGGCAGTAGTAGTTCTCTCATTTGGGTGGCTGCAGCACTGGTGTGTGGTTTTAATTAAATGCAGCGTAAAAGTCCACTGTAACATTAAAAGATCTAGAACTCCCACCTGGTGCATCCACAGGGATTAGATTAAGGGAGGGCGGGGGAGAATATAGTTTTGCTTTCTCTACTAAAAGCAAAGAGAGAGCTGCTCTTCCTCTCCCAACATGGGCAAGTACAGCTCCCCCACTTCCTTGGCTGGTGCTGTTCAAGCTTCCCATCCTGTCTGGCTCTGCTTTAGCTACTGCTTAGCTGAGGAGCTGATGCCTATTCAAACTCAAATCAAAACTGAATTTTTAACTTTGGTATTGACCACTATCTGTCTAACCTTAAAAAAAACAAACACACACACAAATGAAGCTAAAAAGGCATTTAATAATGAAAACACAGTACTTCAGAGCTGGTAGCTCCAGGTAGCTGAGTAATTTTTGAAAGAAACTACACCTAATCATTTAGCTAACAAAGGGAAAGCAGTGGACTGTCTGGCAGCATCATGGTGCTCCCTCCACACAATTTCACTTGGCAAAATACACTCGGAAATAAAAAGAGCCACCCAGTTTATTAAATTTTAAATAAGATCAATACAAAATGTACATAAAAAGCAGTACACATTTACAAATATACATCTGTCTTTCCTTAAATCAGCATTTACCAGCTTGTCAGAGGTGCATGCTCCTTCACTATCGTCCTCTTACCTTCAGAACATGGTTTGACCCAGCAACCGAACAATTACTTAATGTTTGACTTGGCCTTCTTTATTAATGGCTAAACAACACAAGTCCAATTACTGACCTGTTCCTTTAATTCCACTTGGCATCTTAGTAAACCTTCCATTGCTTTCTACTGTCTTCCACATATTGCCACTCATTTTTACCAGCTTACTCTAATACTGAGAGTTAACAGAGACAGGGCAACAATGACATGTTAGCTAATTAGGTCTATAGAAAGGCTTGACAGGAGTACACTTGGACTGCTGACTAAGATAAGGGTGGGGAGGGTGTTAATATTGCCGACTGATTCAGGTTACCACAGTAGTAACTCTAGCTTTCTGTATAAAAACAATGGTAACATGACTTGTTGACAAAGATCAACAATGATAATCATTTGAACTAACAAAATAAAATAAATAGAGCAACTTTTAATCAATGGAATTTTAACACAAATGGTTTTTAAATATTTCTGAATCTTTGTTCTAGAGTATTCCAACAAATAATCTGCTACACAAATAATAAAGCTACAAATAATCTGCTAGGCTACACATTTTTTTCTTCAGTAAAAATAGCATGTTCAGTGCAATTTTTCTTGAGGTTGGTTGGTGCCTTTAAACTGTTGAAGAGAAGACTACTTTTCTCCAGGCAAGTAATTTTTCTCTCTTCAGAATGTGTTTATATGGGAGTTCTTGTGGGAGTTCTTTTTAAGGCTGTTGAATATCTCTTTGGTGCCATTCTGCCACTGAAGAACAAGATCCATAGGGGTTTTCTTTTCCTATTCAAAAAAGAGTGAGGGGAACCAGGTTTAATTTCAATTGGTAAACTTACGTAAATTAATGTCCCTGTTCTCTTCTAGTTCTGTGTGTCAGACACATGTGTCTAATGTATGGTCTTTCTATATTTGATGACACCTAAGTTCTGACAAACTCATCACCATGGTATTCACTGCCCTGCTCTATAGAAGTATTCCTGCTCCTTTCAAAGTTAGCGGCTAACAAATATCCACTAATTTCAGTGGTTGCAGGAGCAGACGCTGTTAGTAAACGTCCTGATCAATAATAAAGCACACTTTAAATTTAATCTGTTAAAATATCTAACTTTTCAGTTACACAAAGTTTATTTTGTTTTAGCTTAAATCAATCAGGAATTTGGTTAGCTAAACCATAAATCACTCAAACTGAAATAAGTGGGGGTTGCAACAGTTTAACTAAACAGCTTTTAAAAAAAATCACACTTTAAGCTAAACAGGTACAACTTGTTGTAGACAAGGCCTAAGCGAGCAGATTTTTGGCTTTCAGCACTTATTGTCCATTCATCATTCTTCATACATATGTTGATGAATATGGTCATTAGTGACTGTGTTACAGAAGGACTAAATAGAGTGGACTGAGGAAGTTGCCTGGCAGTCTTAGCAAAGTGCAGTCCCTGGGCAGCAAGGCAGATAACAATTTGGGAAAAATCCAAGTGCAAAAATTGGTGATTGACGGCAATAGAGGTCACTTTCCAGCCTGCCATGGCTTTGGGAAAAACATTTCCTGATTTTGTGAGCAGGGATGAGTATTTTAACAACTGGTTACAGACATTTTCCTGTTACTCCATAGCTGCTACTGTCAGAATTACCAAATGCAAAAGGTCAGTTTTTGGGCTTCCGAAATTAATCTTTAAAAGTTCTGCTTAGCCAGAGTTCTCCCTGATTGATTTATAGGTCCAGCTGGTCAGGTTACTAATGAACTATTCATCCAGACACAGCCAAGACCAGCCATCAGCTGACTTTCTTTTTAAGGGGTTAAGAGTTAACTTCAGTTTGTGATGTTTAAAATATTACGAACATACAGTGAAAGTGCAACAGGTTGTAAGAAAGAATCGCTACAAAATAATAATAATTCTGCATTTTTTTTAAGATAGGTCACTTGGGTAGATTTAAGGTGGGGTATAATTTTAAATCAGAGTTGGATAAAAAATTGATTTTTTTCAAAAATGTACTGAAAATTTTTCATAAAACAGACCATTTTTCAATACGTTCTACTTTAATCTTAAATAAAAGGTCAAACTAGATCATCCTAATGGTTCTTTCTAGCCTGCAGATCTATTAAACTATTCTGATGGGAAGATTCTGTACTAATCTTACTTACACAGTTCCTTATATGTAGATTTGCTCCATACGTAATCAGGAGTCTAATCATTTTATAACGATTCAGCCTCACTGCATCATGAAGTGGTGTATCTCCTTCCTAAAACAAACAAAACAAGATTGATTACTGGCTTAGATTCTGCTGTGCTCACCCATCTTTCAAGACTGAACAAAGGACACAGTCATTTTACAATCAAGTGGAATTATAAAGGCATATTGTCAGCTCAGTGCTAGATTGTAATTGAGAGTTAGCCTCTATGTTAAGTAAATTTATATATTTTACTTACTCTGTCTTTGGCATTGAGGTCTGCTTCACAGGCAATGAGGTGCTCAGCACATTCATACTGACCCGTCCTCACAGCTACGTGCAAAGGTGTACTGAGCAACTAGACAACGGGAGGGAGAAAACAAACAAAAAATAATCAAATCTGATTTAGAGCCAGTACATGATGAACAGCTGCCAAAATAATGAACTGAGGATCGATCCATTTTTCACATCCAGCTTAAAAAGCCATATAAGAACATACCTTGTCTCTGGCGTTTCTGTTTATTCCTTTGTTGAGCAGGAATTTCAGAACTTCCAGGCTTCCCCCACGACATGCCCAGTGAAGAGCAGTAGATTCAAGCTACAACCATAAAATAATTGAACCAAAACCCAACAAATTAAACAATTGTGATAAAACCAATATTTATTCATTTAAAAATTTTTAATTCAGTCTGACCTAAATCAAATTACTGCAAGTCAGCGACCACTGAGCTGTAGCTATTAGCAGCTTTTTCTTATTTGGCCCGACTGTCTCTAGCCCTGCTGATTTGTCATCCTTCACAATCATTGCATGTTGTACTTAAAGGCAGTAGGATCTGGCAACACTGCAATAGTAGAGGGTGTCTGGGCCCGGCTATGGGTTACCTGATGATTATAACATGCCTTAAATTAAACCTGTACTAAGTGCAGATTTATTTTTCTACACAGTAATTTAAAACAAGAGGTCCAAAATTTTCAAACCTGGCTGCCTATATGGAGGCCCTCCCTAATTTTGAATGATCTGCCCTTTCAAAAGTGTCCAGCACCCACAAATCTCAGTGAACTCAATGGGAGCAGTGAGTGATCAGCACTTTTAAAAATCAGGCTACTTATATTTGGGTGCCTGCTATGGGTTTAGAAACCTAACTCTGGGCAGCCAAGTCTGGTGTTCAGTTCTTGATGTCTAGCAATTTTTTTTTTTTTACTCTGTTTTGTTGCCTTTTGGACTCCAAAACATAAGAAAAACAAAGCTCAGTGTAAAGAACCATTATCTTTTCCAAGCTCTTCTGCAGATGGGGAGGGGTCCCTCTCACCATCTACTCCCCAGGTTTCCTCCTGCCTCTTGGGAATCCTTCTTGTTCCTTCATTCCTTCTACAACTCCCACCTCCAGTCACTGGAGGGTTAAGTGAGGCTTCTCTGTTCCCTGCAAATAGTCAGGAGGGGAGAAGCAGCAGCAAATGCTGTTGCTACTCAACCCCACTTAGGGACAGCATTCCAGAAGAGCAGTGTCCTCTCTTCTGCTCTGGGCTAAAATCCCAGCCCAGGCAT